CAACCTACACGTTAATGCAAATCATGCAAAGCCTGACAACTTTGGGTTTGGTTGGTGATGATCTAGAAAGATCTGACACCACAACGCATGCCATGGAGGGAAGAATTGGTAAGCGGGATGGGCTTCAGTGAACGCTTCTGCTTTGGGAAAGACAAAGCCACAGACTGGGAGAGAATGCTTGCAAAAGACGAAACTGATAAAAGGATTGTTCTACAAAATAAACAAAGAACAAGGAACTCAACAAGAAGAAAGCACACAACCTGATTCTTAAAATGGACCATAGATCTCAACAGACATCTCGCTGGAAAGGACACACACAGGAGGAGACGCCCCATGCCCTGCGTCCTTGGGTAATGCAGCAGCACTGGCCCTTGAGGCTGAGGAGGCGACCCTAGGGGGACGCTGTCCATCACTGCAGGTGCGGGTCCCTCACCGGTTCTCCACTTGCGGGGCTCTAGGGAGCACTGTTATACTGTAGTCCGATTTCCTGGTGTCTCCTGGGGCACAGCTTGAAAAGTGCCTTCTGGAATTATGCGACGCGATAGCTCATCTCACCATCCACTCAGCTTCACCCCCTGCACCCCTTCTCTTCGCCGGACCTATGCTTGCTAAGGTTGATGACCACACTTCATTAAGTCCAGCAGACCCTGTCCTGCCTTCTGCTGTCTCGACATCATGGCCATTGCCTTCTTAGAATGCTTTTTCTCCAGCCATCATCTTGCCTTGGTTTTCTTCTTACTTCTTTGGCTTTTCCTTCACACCGCCCTTGTCAGTTTCTCTTCCTCTTGTCTGTGCACTGAATGTGTGAGTTCCCCCATGTGTTGTCTTTTTTCTTCTTCTTTGTTTTTTTTCTTTTATTGAGTTTATTGGTACATTTAGGGATACAGTACAGTTACATTCATTATTGGGATCTTGTACCTTTACATGACAGGTGGTCTTGGTTTTTTTCTTTGAAGAAAAACCTTCATTGGTACATTTTAGCCACACGTAATGATCACATTCACCATAGGGCATCTGTGTCTGTACGTGATATATCTTCATTCTTAGTTTTTCCTTTCCCTCCCCTTCCTTCTACCCTTCTTCCCTTCCTTATTTACAAAAGCTTTGCTTCCATTTTTCTTTCTAATCTCTTTTTTCTTGTCCCTTATTTCCTTTCTCACTCCTTCCTCCCTTGTTCCCCTTCCCATTTGAACATTTTCTTCCCATTTCCCAACATCTATTATATATTTTGGATCTTATTTCCATTTTTGGTTTCTCACACCAGAGAAACCATGTGGTATTTAAATATGTGTCCAATTTATCTCACTTAAGAGTATGGCCTCAAGGTCCATCCATTTAGCTAGAAATGTCAAGCTCATCCTTCTTTATGGCAGAATAGTACTCCATTGTATAAAAAAACCACATTTTCTTTATCCTTTCATTGGTTGATGAGCATAAGAGCTGTTCCTAAGTTTCAGCTATTACAAACTGTGCCACTAAAAAACATGGGTGCACATATATCACTGTGGTAGGATGCTTTTAATCCTTTTAGGAAGATACCAAGAAGGGGAATAGCTGGGTCAAATGAAACCTCTAGTCCTAGTGTTTTGAGGAATCGCCACACTGATTTCCGCGGTGATTGCATCAGTCTGCACTCCCACCAGCAGTGGAACAGGGTCCCCGCCATCCCCGCCAGCATTTGTTATTGGTTGATTTCCTGATAGCAGCCATTCTTTCTGGAGTGAGGTAGAATCTCAGTGTTGTTTTCATCTGCATCTCTTGAATGACCAGTGATGTTGAACATTTTTTATATGTTTATTTGCCATTTCTACTTCATCTGAGAAATGCCTGTTCATTTCAGATGCCCATTTTTGGATTGGGTCTTTCAATTTGGAGTGGGTCTGAATTTTCTGAGTTCTTTATATATTCTAGCTATTAGTCCTCTGTCTGGCAAAAATTCTTTCCCTCACTGTGGGCTGTCTCTTTACTCTGTTGGGGTTTCTTTGGCTGTACAGAAGCTTTTCAATAAGATGAGATCCCACTTGTTGATTCTTTGTGAGAAAGAAAAGAAGCTGAAGCAAGTGGACATTCATACACAAAAACAAAATCACAAATGAAAAAGAAAGGCTTGCCGGGGATTTAGCTCAGTGGTGGCACTGCCTGCCTTGCAAGTGCAAAGGCTGGAGTTGGATCCCCAGTCAAAAAAAAAAAAAAACAAAAAAAAAAACGGCTCATAAGCTTAAATGGAAAAAGTAAAACATGTGTGAGGCCTTGGGTTCAGTGCCCAGCACTAACAAAAGAAAGACGAAAAGGGAACTAATGAGCGATTTTCATTTATAAGTAGTTAAAGTATAAGCAAGATTGAGGAGGATAGAAATCAAAAAAGGAAAAAAAAAAGGTGTCTCTCTGGGGTACCCTTGTCTCAGACACCCTGTGTCCCTTGTATGAGCTGGGACAGCATAAAGAGCCTGAGTAGGAGAGTGTGCAGTCATCCCGCAGGGGTGGTAACAGGAGCATGTCACAGCTCTTTGGCCTATAAATCTAAGATTAGTACACTTTCCCTATTTTACTGCATCGGAGGAAATACTTTAGTGGTTTCCTATTGCTTTTAAATTAAAGTCTGAAATCCTGCTTAGACTGTAGTTTATAAGTCTGAGTGACCTGTTTCCTACCTACTTCTCTAGTTTCATCTCCCTTCCCTTAAGATCCTGTCCCAGGGCCTTTGCATACCCCAGTTACTCCCCCAGGAGGGCTCCTTCCCCACGCACCTTCACTCAGCTAACCCTTCATGATTCTTCAGGGCATCACACATTTCCTTTGGGACATTTCTTTGTCTCCAGGCCTAGGTTAGGTCCCTGATTACATGTGTCTCTTACATCGTAGTAATCATTTCACAAGCTCCAGAAAGTGCTGAATCAGGCCTGTCTTGTTTGCTGTTTTATCTTAAGATGCCTGGTAATAGTAACTACTCATTTCACACTTTCCAAATATTGAAATTAAAGTGAGTCTTAGATTAATTTAACAAAGTCCCAAAATAAGCCACAGAAGAAGTGCTGGGGTGTAAGCCCATGAACACACCCTGACCACCCACCCACCCTTCTCCACATCCGTGTGGCAAAGCCTTCCCCTCCAGCTGCTGGCTCCCACCCTTTATCCACTGGATTGTTGCAAAATAGTAACATATGGATACTTTCTCAGCATAATAAAATCAGTACCCTCTGCTTATTGAGAGAATGTTCAACTACTGCCATGAAAGTCAGGAACAAGATGGAAATGTCTATTGCAATTTAACACTCTGAAGGTCTTAGGCGATGCAGTTAGATAAGATTTAAACTATTAGAAGTTTAAAAATTAGGAGAGAGATTTCACATTTTTTACAGGCGTTAACCTCAGAGAATAAAAAACAAAACCCAAAATGATTATAGATGAGAGAATTCAGTGGTGGCTGGGCTAGAAAAATTAAAAGAGCCAATCTCATTGCTGTGGCAAAGACAACACCAGCAGATGGACTTAACAGGAGGTGCTCAAGATGTACACAAATAAAACCTTAGAATGCCACGCAGCACAGATAGAAAGCAATTGCACACAAAAAAGGCCAGCCGGGTTCGAAGAAAGTGCCCACACCAGGAATATGTCATGTGCCTCAAGGAACTGTGTGGGCAATGCCAATGAGACTTTGCTTCTAACAGCACAAGCAGCTGGGTTCCTGATTTGAACGTGGTCAATAGGGCTGAGCCTCAGAGCCTCTTCTTCAGACACCTCTCCTTTTATTTTGTTGCGACATGTATAACTTTTTATCTAAGCAGAGGAGGGATTGCTGGGCTCACCTCAGCAGGGTGAGGGTGTTTGGGTGGAGAGATGTAGTTCACCAAGGGAGGCTGGACCCCATGCTTTTCCAGGAACCTTGAATGACCCGGCGCTGGTGTCTGGCGCTGCACCGTCCTGAAGAACGCCAGCAGCAGAGCTCCTAGCGCTGGATCTGCAGCAGTGACCTTTTATGGAAGGAGCCATGGGCTGGCAGCTGCTGCCCAGCAATCCTTCAAGCTGGGATGCTTCTGCTGAGCAATGCGCAGGCTGGGTAGTGGATGCGGGGGCAAACATTCGTATGAGAGCACTAGAGAAAGGTCTGCGTGTGTTTGTTTGTTATCAGAGATAGAATCTGAGGCCTCTGCACTGAGCTCACCCTCAGCCACTCCTGGTCCTTCTTTTTGAGGCAGGGTCTTGGTATGCAGCTCAGGCTAACCTTGAACTCTTCTTCTTCTTCTTGTTTTTTTTTGGGTACCAGGGTTTGAACTCAGGACCTTAGGCTTGTGAAGTAGGCAGCAGAACCACTGAGCTAAATCCCCAGCTCTAACCTAGAACTCTTGATCCTCCTGCCTCAGCCTCTGGAGGGCTGGGTTCCAGTTCTGCCATCGGGCCCAGTGCTAGAGGAGTTTTAAAGTTCTTATTTTTTTTGGGGGGGTGAGATAAAAACAGATCAGTAATTGCAAGGAGCTCCTTCTGAGCCAGAAAGAGCTCCCCAGATGTCAGTTCCCACCCAGAGCATGAACTCGGCCTGTTTCTGGTGCACCTCCTTCCCTTCGGCCAGCCTGGGGAGCACCTTTCACAGAGTCTGGGTTACGAGAGCTGGAGGGAGGAAGTCTCTGGGGGCCGGGGTGCGGCCCACCGGTGCCTGGCTTGCCCACAGTTTGCTGTCCTGGGCTACACCCCCTGGATGGCAAAAACAAAAACAGAAACACCCCCAATCCCCTCGCCGAAGGAAGCCTGGAGGTGGTGGTTATGAAGTTTATTACTGCTACAGTCAGACCGGTGAGGTGCAAATCCTAGCTTTGCCATTTGCAGCTGAACTGGACAAGTTATTTCCTGTGTTGTTAGCTGTCACCGCTGGCTGACGTTGCTCCATCTGCGCTGCGTACCCAGGTCCCCAGGGACCCCTGTGTGGCGCTGAGCGTCCTGCCCTTTGCTTCCACACTGCCCTGATGGACCTACGCTCTGCATAAATCCTGAGAAAATAAGTTGCCTGGGTCTCAATCTCTTTATTTACATGTGACTACAATTTATAAATACACTGGTCATTTTCCTCCGTTCCCAAACTTCCCCATACTGTAGCCCTCCCCGACCCTGCTCCACCAACCCGTCCCCCCTCCTCCAGGAGGCCGGGCGAGTGACCCTCAGGCAACCTCGGCCGCACCAGGGTCCACCTTGGTCTGTGTGAGGCGTGGGCCCTCGAAGCTTGGGGCTGAGCACCCTGAGTCCCCTGAGGTCCGAGGACGTCCTTGTGGGTGACGGACCGCAGGGCAAGCTCCCCTTGCTGCGGAGTGCCGTGGCGGGCAGTGATTGGCGTACCACCCGTCTGTGCCGGAGGCTACGGGTCCACACTAGGTGACAGGCTCCCAGGCAGGGTGAGTCCTGTGGGGTGTGGTCCCGCTGGGCCCCGCCGCTCTCAGCAGTACCTGAGCCTGGTCCCTTGGGGCTGCCAGGCGCAGGAGTCCTGAGGGTGGGCAGCCTCGGAGGAGGCTCTCAGACCCTCTTCTCTCACTTCCCAGGATCCATGCGGCCCTCGGCCTGGTCAGAGCGTGGGGCGCCCCAGGGTCTCTGTCTCGGCCAGATGCCAAGCTTTGCCATCTTCCTGGTAGGGCACAGACAGCTGCGAGGGCCCGGGAGCGCCCTCTTCAGGAGTGGGGTACGGAGGTTCAGGGGGAGCTGGGGGGTCTCCAGGGCCTCGCGCTCTGCCCATCACTGGCCCATTGTAGATGTAGATGTTGCCGGTGACAGTCACGGAGCCCCCGGTGACATGGATGCCATTGGCACCTGTGGGAAGGAAGGCAGAGCTCTGTGAGGGGACCCCGACATGGGCACGCCGCTGCTCAGACCTCTGCCTCCTGCTGCTGGGTTTCCAGGCTTCTGTCTCCTGGTGTGGCGCTGGCCACTGTCAGGTCTTCTGTCCCCCGTCATGGCGTTTCTGCTCCTTTTTGCCCCATTCTCCCGCTTTCACAGCCCTCCTGCTTCTGCCTGCCCCGACTCACCATGGGCCACCTGGCTCTGCTCCCCCAGCTCAGCCTCCGGCTCCCTGGTCTGGGTCAGAGGACTCTGCTGCTGCAGCAGCACTTCCTCCAGAGGTGGGGGTCCTGGGGGTCTGGTGGGGCCCGGGGACAGATCTCCAGAGATGGGCAGGAGTGGCTTCACCAAGTCAGGGACATGAGGGTTGGCTCTTGGAAGGGGGCAGGAGGGGGATTCTTCTCCCTGTGGAAGAGCGGCAAGGAACCAACTACCGATGAGGGACCCAGGCCCCATCTCACCCCATTCTCACTTTGGTGACTCTTGCTGCCTCTGCTCCTCACAAAGACCCTGCCTCAGGCCCTTTGCACTGACACCCATGCTTCCTAGAGCACTATTCCCCAGCTCCCTGGCTGGCTCCCTCACTTTCTCAGCTCTCTGCTCAAATATCAGCATATGGGAGAGGCCTTCCCTGCCTGCTCTGTCTAGAACAACACACCCTCACCCTTTACCCCACTCCTATTTAACTTTGTTCTTGCTGGTAGCTCATAAACTCCAGGTGGGGAGGTGCTTAGCTTTGCTCCCTGTGGTACCTGGTCCCCACCCTGTGCCTGGCGTGGTGCCGGGCGCATGGTGTGTTCAATAAACTGTCAGCTGCATGCAGCCCATGTTCTTCTGTCTGCTGCCCCCCATGCCACCTTCTCCAGCCCCCTGGTTACCTCTGGCCGCCTTTTGAGCAGCGATCCTGCAATGAAAAATGAAATAGAGGAGAGGCCTCAGCACCCAGCCTTCCACTGCCTGGGGTCCCAGCCTGGGATGCTGCCCCGCCCAGTGTCCCAGCAGGAAAAGGTTGATGTTACCCTCCCTCCTCTGCAGCCCAGGAATGAGGGAACTGGGGAGAAAGGTGCTGGGAAGTGGGGAGCAGGGTTGAAAGTCCTGAGGGCAAGGGGCGGGGTGAAGGTTTGCCCTGGGGCAGCTGCACATCCCCGCCCCTCCCCAAGCCCTACATGGACCCAGGGCTGGCTTCTCCCTACCCAGCTTTCTGCAGAGAGAGGGGTGGCTCTTCCAGGTACAGGCAATGACAGTGGTGAGCAGCAGAAGGGAGACCAGAGGCAGCAGGATGGCCAGCACCAGCATTGTTCCTGCTGGACAGCAGACAGGAGGGGTGATGGCCGGAAGGGTGGGTGGAAGCTAAGGGGGAGCCTCCTGTCCTTTGGGCAATTCAGAAGTGGGGGCAGTTTCTTCCTCTGGCCATACTGCAGACTGGGAGCTAGTTCAGGGCTACGGAGGAGCCCTGAGCTGGGCTTGGGAGCCCTATCTTGGATGGAGAGGCCCGGAGTGCTGCAGGGCTGGGGCAGAGTGAGGGAGCGAGGGCAGATGGTCTTCAAGGGCCAAGGTAGTAGGGGAAGGTGGGGTTGGGGTTGTGAACAGTCTTGGGCCACAGGGTGGAGCCACATTTCTGAGGAGAGTACAGGGGCAGCTGGCCAGGGAGCCCCACTTCCGAGCTCTGCCTGTGCAAGTCCTTGTCCCCTTGCCCTCGGAAGGACAAGGTGGTGGGAGTTTGATCTTTCCTGCCTTGCTCTGTCCCGTGGACAATGTATCAAGAGCGTGGAGTCAACAGTGCACATCTGTGTTGCTTGGGGAAGCTTAGGGGGCTTGGGCGCTTGTACCAGGGGAGCTGTTTGTTGTTTGTTTGCAGCATCAGGGACTGAACCCCACGGAGCTACATCCTCAGCTCTTTGCGGTTTTTGAGACAAGTTCTGTCTAAATTGCCCGAGCTGGTCTTGAGCTCTCAGCCTTCCTGCTTCAGCCTCCAGAGTGGCGGGACTTTTAGGTGTGAGTCCAGCACCTGGCTGTGTCCTGGGAATTCAACCCCCTCTGATGCATCTGAGTCTGCTGCCTAAGGGAGCGATGCAGAATGGGGGACGGGAGACTGGGCCCAGGTCTGGTGCAAGACACTTGGGTTCTGCCCAGCAGAGTGATTTAAGGGGTCCAGGCATCAGCTTTTCGAATACAGAACAAGATGATGAGCTTCATGCCCAAATTCCATGCCCAGAGCGCCAGGCTATCTGATACACAGTTAAAAACTCTAAGAGAACATGGGAAAATAGGTAGGATACATTATACAGGCAGGGATATAGCTCAGTGGTTAAGGGTTTGCTTAGTATGTATGAGGCCCTGGGTTCCAGCACCAGTGTAAGAAAAAGCAGGTTATAAAACACTCAAATGATTGCACTGTTAGTGAAAATATTCATATGTGTAGACATGCATAGGAAAATGCCTGGGAGGAAATGCACCAAAATATCAAGTGTGGCTATGTAAACAGTGATTCTGTGAGTGGGTTTGTTTTGCTTATCTGCATTTCCTAATTTTCTACAGTGTGTGTGTGTGTGTGTGTGTGTGTGTGTGTGTGTGTGTGTGTGTGATCCCATGGGCTTTAGAGTTAACAGACCTGGGTACAGGTCTTAATAACATGGTTAACTGGTCATGGGTGGTCACTTAACCTCCATTAACCTCAGTTTCCCCCAAGGAGTGTAATAACAGAGCCTGTACAGCATGATCAATAACATGGTGAATGCTTTACTTTTAAAACTATTAATTCCAGCAAAAGACACGCTGCCGTGAATCTCCCTTAAGATATTCCCTTGCCCTGAACACACTTAGCCCATCTTTCTGCCACTTTCTGAAGCAATTCTGGAGATCTGCTTTTGCTAGTGTCTTTAACTGTACTGAATCAATATAAAAGATTTCTCTTTCTTTTTTTTTTTTTTTTGGTACTGGGGATTGAACTCTGGTCCTTGCACTTGCAAGGCAGGTGGCGGAACCACTGAGCTAAATCCCTGGTCCCTCTTTCATGGTCATTTTGACTCCAGGGAAGAGCCACCGGCCACATGGTGCCGTAATGTTATGAGCCTGCCTTTTTACTGCCCCGTGCACAGCCGCAGCAGTCCCATGTGTTTGATCACACCCTATAAAGACATCCACAAAGGAGGACTTCCAGAACTGCTTCAGAAAGTGTCAAGAGTCATAGGTAAGTGTGTTCACAGTGAGGGAAGCCAAGCTACTTTCTGTGTGTGTCTCAAGGGGGTTTAATGGTGAAGTGTCTTTTACTGTTATAATTTTTTTGTTTGGTTGGTTTTTTGAGACAGGGTCTCACTATGTAGTTGAGACTGACCAGGAACTCACTATGTAGCCCAGGCTGGTCTCAAACTCACAGCGATCCTCCTTGCCTCAGCCTCCTGAATGCTGGGATTACAGGCGTGTGCCACCACGCCTGGCTCACTGTTATAATTTTTTATTTGAACACACAATACCATATTTTTGATCTGCCCTTGTATGTCACAGAATCAGTAAGAGTATGACAGGAGATAATGAACAGAAAGTGTTTAGGCCTGACATGCTGCTCTCAATAAATAAGAGCTGTAATTAAAAATTTCTGGTAATTTGAAAAAGCTAATCAGCTGTCAACATGGATTACAGTCATCAGAAACACCCTTTAATTGTATCCACCAGACTAGGAAACTCAGTTTGCAGGAGAAAAACCAAGCACATCCAATGGGGAGATATCTGCCTGCGGCCTCACAGTGAGGCCTGCGGTCCAGGGAAAGGGCTTTTGATGGAGGCGCCAGGTACAGTTCTGTCTCAGTGTGGGGTGCACCTCCCCAAGACATTGTCCTTAATTTAAAAAGGGTAAGTGAACTAGCCTAGGGACGCCCAGGTTCTGGGAGGAGGATTAGTCTTCCCTCTTTGAAGGTGAAGAGCATTAAAGCATTTCCAGGCCCCACCTCAGGCCCCTTGGCCCCGGCCCTCACCTGGTGTCTCGGGGGGCAGCAGCTCCGGTGGGTTCCTGCAGCTTGTGTCAGACTGGGCAGTGCCTGGAGCTGCCTCCACCAAGCCCCGGTCCTTGCATCTGCAGAGGAAGAGGACGGTGAGCTCTTCCCCCCTGCCTACCAGTGCCCGCTCAAGGGGGCTGATGGGCTGTTGGCAGCTGCGGCTTGTGGCACGGGTGGGCACTCACCTGGTGTGGGGCTGGCAGTGGGCACTGGAGGAGGAGGTGTTTTGGAAGTGCCCTGCCTTGCAGGGGATGCAGGTGTTGTCAGCCTCCTCATCTCCACCTGGTGAGAGCAAGGCAAGGTGGCCAGGATGAGCGGACAGGCAGAGCCCGGCTGCCTGCCGGCCGCCCTGTAGCTCTTACCTTTCTGCACAGCCCTACTGGGGTACCAGCCTTTTGCATGAAGGAGAAGAGGCACCTGATGCCAAGGGGAACTACACCAGGGTCACCGTGGACATGGCACCATGCTCCCGCCCGCACCGACCTCCTCTCAAGCTGCCCTCTGACCTTTGCGCACGGCCTCAGTGCCAGGCGGGCATTCAGAGAGCAGCTCACAGTGCACACACTCTGCGTCCCGGTGGGCGCAGAACATTCCCGGCTGGCAGCGACACTCTGTCTTGTGGGTGCTGCTGCAGGGTGCAACCTCCAGGAAGCCCAGCACTGATGGGGAGACAGGCGCTCAGGGAGGGGCTGTCTCTGGGGACCCCGGCCCTGCACACCACTCACCCAGGTCACAGGGCCGGCACAGTTGGCAGATGGACAGGTGGTTCCAGTGCTCATTGTAGGAGTTTTCGGCACACGTGGTACAGACCGTGTTCTGGCTGCGGCTGCATTCGGCTGTGACGAAGGTGCCTGGAAGGTGCAGGTGTCAGGGGCGGGATGCTGTCTCACCACTGCCCCTGGTTGCATGGCCCGCATGGTGCTCTGTCTCTGTGCCCCTTCCCTGCCCCCTGGCTTGCTGTCTTCCTGCCTCTCCAGCAGGCCCAGCTGTGAGGGGAAACCTCAGTGCCCGAAGTGACTGCGGCCAGTGCTTCCTGCTCACTGGCCATGCCAGTGACTTTTCCCAGGGGGCAGGGTCCACCCACCCTCCAACCCCTCGTGTCCGGGCTGCCCTGGGTCATCGCCTCTCACCTGGGGGACACCGGGAGCAGCAGACCTGATGCTTGGGCTCATAGTACTCCTTCTCCTGGTCCCCACACGTGCGGTCCTCTGAGTGGTAGGGGGGCACCTTCCAGGGGAAGAGGGTTGGGTCAGCTTGGGTGGGCACCAGGCTGCAGAGAGCTGCCCAGAACATGTCCTCCTCCGCTGCCCTAGCCAGCCTCCCCACCCCCTCACCATCTGGGGCTGGGATGCTGCCAGGAGCCCGCAGAGGCCCAGCAGGAGTGGCCCCCAGGCCAGGCCGCAGGGAGAGGTGGCTGGAGGCAGACGCATGGCGGCACTTGGGCCCAGCCGCTGGAGCTGATGGGTGGAGGCCTGGGAGGAGGGTGGGAAGCCCGGACGTCCTGAGCGGTGATGGCGGCGGCTTCCCGAGCCCAGCT